AATTTTCCAAGATATTAAAGATCATAATGCAAAAAAAAACTAAGTTTATCAAAAGTAACAGGCTTATGAAAGTTCTTATGAGGTTCCAAACAATTTCATCCATAGTTTTATTATTGGAATGAAATATAGCAAGACTTGCATTGGCTACTCAGAAAGTAGTAGCTGGAGGTCATTAGGTTAAATTAACTAAAAAAAAGATTTGTTCATGAATCTGTGAAGTATTTGGTTTGAATAATCCGTGTGCAAAGTGATTTCCATCTTAAGATTAAAAATACTTTTCTTTGTCTCAAAAATCTCTGATTGGATTTGTGTAAACTCTAAAATCTAAATACATTTCAAATGTTTGTTTTCAGTAAAACTTTATATTTTAACTGTTATTTTCTCCACCGTAACTATACGAGGTTGGTCAATTTGACCGACCTCATAACCCTTTAAACTCATAACAGTATACATTTATATGTAATTAAATTTTATTACTTTGTTACCCTTTGAACCATGTCTAACTATTATTTGTGCCATTATATGTTGTAACTCATTTGTGGAATGTAGAACTCATGTAACATTACCCACGAGCTGCTTATGTGCGTGCCTTGTGAAACATTTTTATTATATTATTATTATTTATTTTACCTTAACTAACCTAACCATTTTAGTTACTTTAATAATAATAAATAAAGAATAATCATGAAAAACAAGAAAGAAAGTATTAGGTCGTCAAGAAATTAATTTCACTTTTTTTAGATGAAAAAACCCGAACAACTTGTATATTAAATCAAATCATTTATTAAATGAAATAGTCTCCATTCTTATCGATGATACAATCAGGTTGTTAATGCCCTGATTAAATAAATCTCTTGGCTTTGAAGCAAAAAATATGTTGATGTCCTCTTTAACACCTTCCACATTTGCATACGTTTTCCCATTAAGATGATGTTGCAGCAAATGAAAAAGATGGTAATCTAATGGTGCCATATCTGGAGAATATGGTGGGTGGGGGGAGAACTTCCCAACTCCATAATCTTGTGTTGCATCAAACGTGCCACATATAGACTTGCATTGTCGTGGAGAAGAACACCTTTCCGATTGACGAGTGAAATGTGTTTCTGAGTAAGAGCTTGATTACTCCTTTGATGTCCCACCAAATGCAAAGCATCACTTTCTGCAGATGGAGTCCAGGTTTTGGCATCGCAAGTGGTTTTTGTCTAGGACCGAGCCATTGTTTTTGGTGTTTAATATTTGCATAGAGAATCCATTTTCCACACTTGTGACAGTTATGTCCAAAAATGGTTCACAAGCATTACTCGCCAGAAGAGACGAAGCAACCTTCATACGTTGGAAACGATGATCATTGTAGAGTTTGTGAGGCACCAAAACAGCTTCTTCATGGAGTTTTCTCATATTCCTTAGATGTTTATATATTGTTTCATGAGAGACCTGAAACTTCAGGGCCATTTCACGAGTGTGTTGCCTTAGGTTAGACTCAATAACATCTTCAGAGCATCAATATCAATTTCAGCAGGTTGGCCATTGCCATCAAAGTTTTTAAGGCTAAAGTCACATGAACGAAATTTGCTGAACCATCATTGACACTTACGAATGTTCAAAATATTTCAATAAATGTCTTTGATATTCTTTATGGCTACAGAGGCATTGTTTCTTTTCTCGAGACATTTAGGCAGTTAGTTTAACTATTATACATTATTCAAGTTTTTTGGGGGTTGTTAATGGAAGTGTTTCAAAACGTGACATTAATTTCTTGAAGACCTAATATTTAGTTGAGTTTTCTTTTTTCTTGTCATCATTGACACTTAACTCCTTTTTTATACTAATGATAGTATTCTACTAAATAAGTTTTATTTAATTAAATAATGCACCAAAGAACATAGAATAATAATGTGCAAAAAATAGACAATTTCCCCTAACTATCACAATTTTTCTGACTTTCTAACAATGCGACAAGAACCATTACTAAATAATCCAAGCTAGTTGTTATCTTTCCCGTGGGAACAAAGCTTGTACTAACAGTGTAATTGACAATTCTCTGTTCAGAAAACAGTGTTATTTAAGATGTAATTTGATAGATGAAAACCTTGGCTTTCTATTCGTTATAGATAATATAGTTAACCATAAGAGAGAACTATTAACAAATCCTGAGAGAGGGGATTTGACAGGTGGGCTTAGCAAGAGGGGTCTGATTTTATATTTGGCTCTGTAACCTAACAGAATTGAAGACTATAAAAATTATGGTTTGTCTGAGCAATAATGATTTTATAGTGAGTAATTTACGTAGAATTTCGCATTTATTGGAGGGATGGTGGATAAAATAGAGTAGATGCTTAGAGAAAATGTCGCACTAAGGGAAATTCATGATTTTGTTTTAAATATTGCCTTATAAAATTCAGATTTTATGCTATACTAATTGGTATAACATAAACAAAAAATAGATTAATAAACTTTTGAATGTAAGTTAATAAAATCTTGTGACATTCACAGTAAAAGATGCCCGTAGTGATAGGGTTAATGTACTCATGCTTGATATTTTAATGATCAAGACCAGATGCTTGATGTGGAGGTAAAAAAAAAAGAAATTCTAGCCAGTAAACGCTTTTAAAATATTTGTCAAATATATTGTTCATAGACATTTATATCACTACAATACATTTCTCTTCAGTACAAATAGAAACAAAACTATAACAAAGCTACTGTTTTGTAAACACTGATTTAACATCAAAAAATAGGAACTGGTATTTTATACATGTGACTGAACCATATAAACTATATTATCTGTTTTGTCTTCCACTGAATAGTTCAAGACATGACATGTTGGCTTTGCACAGAGTAGCTCAAGGCATGACATATTGGCTTTCCATTGAATAGCTCAAGGCACGACGTACTGGCTTTCCACAGGGTAGCTTAAGGCATAACATACTGGCTTTCCACTGAATAACTCAAGGCATGACACAGTGACTTTCTACTGATTAGCTCAAGGCATGACATACTAGCTTTGCACTGAATAGCTCAAGGCATGACACAGTGACTTTCTACTGATTAGCTCAAGGCATGACATACTGGCTTTGCACTGAATAGCTCAAGGCATGACACAGTGACTTTCTACTGATTAGCTCAAGGCATGACATACTAGCTTCCATTAGGTAAGTGAAGGTATGCTGTTGTTCAACTCAATAATTCAAGACAAGACATATTCATGTTAAACTTGGTAACATAAGACTCAACAAACTAACCTTTCACTTACTTATGCAACTTGACATTCAAGATTTGACATCTAATTTGGGTAGTCGTAGGTTGATTTCTTTAAAGAATTGATACACTTTGGCATTATTTATTAACGTAAAGGAAAGGATAGAGACAAAGAAAATTAACAAGTTTAGCTACACTGAAAAATGTTTGGCAAATCAGAGCCTCAGAATAATTAATTCAACAAAATGTCATAACATTATTCATTTACTTAGATTAATTTGGAAGTATATGGTGAAGTAAAATGGACTCAAAACCCCAGAGAAATCAGAGCCTCAAGTTTTCTTCGTAACTAACCATTAGCTTAAAACACTGACATTATTTTAAACATTCATGTGTTAGAAAAACAAAACATGATGAGTACTGTTGTAATCAATTGTTTTATCATTTCAGAAAAATCTTTTTAATAGAAAATTATTGATTAACTCTATCACCCCAGGTATCCTTTACTGTGCATGATACAAGGTTTTAGTGTCTTACATTCAAAATTTTATTTTTATTTATGTTATACCAATTAGAATAGCATAAAATCTTAGCTAATAATCCATATTTTA